TCCAAATGGCTTTCCTTATGAGGGGATGAGAACCTGAGTGAGGTTTTAGCAAGTGGATCTCAGGCTTCCTAAGTATTTATTCCCATGATAGAACTATAGCATTATTAGCTATGACCACTGCTGAAGCTTTAATTCAAATAAAAAGCATTTAGATTTTAACTCCAGTACTCCATACTCAATCACAACTTAATGGCCTGTCAGTGTAAACTTGAAATATGAAAAAGAGGGTCACATTCGGTGGCTCAGCCTGTAATCCCAGTGCTTTGGGCAGCCAAGGCAAGAGGATTGCCTGAGCCCACGGGTTCGAGACCAGCCCCGGCAACTTGGAGGGACCTTGTCTCTACACTAAATAGAAAATTAGCCGGGCGTGGTAGCACACGCCTGTAGTTCCGGCTACTTGGAAGGATGAAGCAGAAGAATTGCCGGTACCCAGTAGGTAGATGATGGGGTAGCCATGAGTGTGCTACAGCACTCTAGCCTGGGCAACAGAGGAAGGCTCCAACTAAAAAGAAAAAAAAAAAAAGATTTCCTTTTCCTTTTTCGACCCTATGATTTTGTTGCCTGCCACAAAAGAGAATCAAATAATAAGTGGCATCAGTGCGAGGTGTGAGAAAGGGGGCAGGGACCAAATTTGCTAAAAATGCTAAAACCTGGTCTCTATCTTCACCCAAGGATCACCTGAAGGTTGTATGGAGGTAAAGTTCATTATTCAACTTGACAGTTTCTTAGAGATCACAAATTTAACATTCATATTGTTCATTCTAATGAAGGAATGAATCTTATTGTCTTGGGCCTCTGTGGCAACCTCCCTACCTGAAATGACTTGCCCCCATGTTTGTCCTAACAGTTCCTCCCAGGCTGCTAATCTCAGAGTTGGAAACCATTCCTGGAACCCTCGGTGTGACTTAGTGTCTTTCTTTTTCCAAGCAACCACACTCTCTGTTGTGGCTCTGGTCACATCTTTCTGCACACATAGGAAGTAACCTGCTTGATCATGTTCTCCGAAGGCAGATTTGTTTTCTTTGTTGACTTTTGTGTCCTAAAACTCTAACACAGTGTTAGCCAAGAACTCAGTAAAAATCATTCTACTGGCTGGGCATGGTGGCTCAAGCCTGTAATCCCAGCACTTTGGGAGGCTGAGGTGGGGGGATTGCCTGGGTCCACAGGTTTGAGAACAGTCTGGGCAACTTGGCGAGACCCCATTTCTATAAAAAATCAATAAAAAAAATTAGCCTGGTGTGGTAGTGCGTGCCTGTTGTTCTGGCTACTTGAAAGGCTGAGATGGAAGGATCACTGGAGGCCAGCAGATCAGCGCTGGTGTGGCTGTGAGTGTGCCACTGCACTCCAGCCTCGGCAATGGAGTGAGACTCCAACTCAAAAAAAAAAAAAAATCCTACTACTATGACTGCTCCCAGTTATATTGCTGCTGGTAGTAGTAGTACTATTTTTTTTTTTACTGCTCCCATCACCAGTAGTGAGCTAGTGTGGCCCCTGCTCAGGCATGGAAGACACACATACATATTTTCACATTGTGGTCTCTTTTCAGCCACCGCTCAGAGGTTGGCATGGCAGAAGAAAGATGGGGAGGCATTCTGGATGGAGTTTGCAAATCTATGACAGTAAAACCACTCCTGTGTTGCAAATGATAGTTGCTGTGAATTTGCTACAACAGGTAGATTTTAAAATTATTCGTACACTTAGGACACTTTCCATTTTCTGTGGAGTATTTGGTTTCTCCCACTAACCATGTGATTTCCCTGAACATGGTGATGCCGTAGGAGAAGTTAGGAATTTAATTCTATGTCATCTAAAACACATTTTATCAATAATTAGCAAAATATTTATACACCTAATTAACATGAGCAAGTCTCTGAGTCTGAGGGTCAGTTTCATTGTCCATAAATCAGAAATTGTGTAATCTATCTTCTTAGGATTTTTGAGAATGCAAAGCAGAAACAAATGTGAAAGGTATTTGTAAGCTTTCAGGTGCTAGGCAAAGTATTATAATATGGTTGTGACAAGTTTTTTTTTTTTTTCTTTTTGAATTTCCTATAGCACTTTGTTCTGAAGGGTGAGTTTAGCTTGGTTTGGAGGTGAGACCTACAGTCTAGTTGGAAATAAATACCTGATTCGAGGTAGAAAGACCTGTGAGCAAAGCCCTGCCTCACCATGTCACTAGTTATGTAACCTGAGATAAATTACTAAAAAGACATCTTACAACCATCCAGTTGAAGGGTTACTGTGATAATAAAGGGGAAAAATATCTATGAAGGCACCTGGTGCACTTCAGGTGTTTGACTAGTGTTTACAGAGCATTCCTTCAGGGCAGAGAAAGGTGAAAATGAATCAAAATGATTATGAGAAGATAGCATACAGAAGAAGTCGTCTAAACTTTGACCCAGTAGACTGGCTTAGAGGGGGGGTCTGAGCCTGTTTCTTCAGATGTGAACTGGCAGTAATAATAGTAATGAAAAGTTCCTTAACTATCTCTTAGGGTTCCGGTAAGGACTTTAACAAAGTAAGGTATCACCAGACGTGGAATAGGGAGCTGAAAGTTTAGTTTGTTCTCCCCCAAAGTTTAGAGTTATGCCTATGTTAATTCTCCTCAATTATTATTATTATTTTTTGAGTCAGAGTCTCACTCTGTTGCCCAGGCTGGAGTGCAGTGGCACGATCATAGCTTACTGCAACCTCAATCTCTTCAGCTCAGGTGACCCTCCCACCTCCTCCTGAGTACAGGCACATGCCACCATGCCAACCTATTTTTTTCATTTTTTTGTAGAGTTGAGGTCTTGCTATGTTGCCCAGGCTGGCCTCAAACTCTTGGGCTCAAGTAGTCCTCCTGCCTTGGCCTCCCAAAGTACAGTGATTACCTTGTCTGGCCCTCATTTTTAAAGACAGTTCAAAAAACATGTCCATATTTTTTTCTGTTGACTGAATATAGTGCCTCGAATTGTGTTTTGACAAAATGTAGGCAGTTCATTATAAAATCTAACTATCTTTAATCAAGCTGCCTCTTGGATGGTGAAACACAGATAAGGATTAATAAGGTGGAGAAGAAAAGGAAAGAGAGATGCAGCTAATGAGAAATGGAACCATGGTGTAAGAGCAAGAAGTGATACTCATTCTAGCGACTTTGATAAGATGAAGGCTTTCTTCCCAAGCCCTCTCCCCTGTCCAGCTTTCCATTGAAACCTTTGTGAAAGGAAAGTCAACCAAGAACTCAAAGAGCAGAGGACAAAGCACTGTGTGGTGGGGGAGGGGAAAAGGCGTACCATGCTTGCTGGTTGAGGAGGTCTGCCTACTACACCAGACCTCTGCAGCTGTAATCTCCCTGACTAGGATTCTTCATGCCAACAATGAGGCTGGAACTGCGTAATGATAGTAAGGATAACACCTAAGGTGTGCTCTAAAAGTGCATTTTCAAAAAAAGTCTTGTAGGGTGGTTCTGCAGCCCAGTTATGGAGTTAGTAAGTGGTAGAGCCAGGACTTGAAGCTAGGTACTCCACTCCACTGACCCTTTCCATCTCTGAGCTTCTCTGCTATGGGTGGGTAAAGATGTCTGAGCAAGTATGTCTTTGTGGGGTCGACATTCAGAAGCAGATTATGTTAGCAGTTTGTTTTACTCATCCTTTTAAAGGTGGAAGCAGGGAGTATCTTTTATTCATGGACATGTAGGGAGTAGGCAGATTTGGTTTCTGACTGATTGATAATTGGGGGAGTATATAAAGATTTCCCCATAGAACAATAACATTGCTTATACTTGAGGAGCAAGCAGGAGAGTAGCCTGCGACCCAGCCCAGAAGGGCGAGGTACCTTGAGAAACACAGGTGTTTCAGACCCTAAGGGAGTGCGGAGAGACCTTCCCAAAGGCTGTGGTGTTCCATGGTGTCAGACACTTCTGAAAGATCAGACAAAATGAGACTCGAAAAGACCCATGAGATTTAACAGTGAGAAGGTTGCTTTTCCAGTGCCTGAGATCACATCACTCATTGCACTCTGTTTCAAATCAGAGGAGTTTCTGAGGTGGTGTTCTCTATCTTGACCCTAGTTTGGGAAATGCATTCTCTTTTGGGTCCCTCTGTGTGTTTCATCCTTCATATAGCTTATGTAAGGTCCCTCCTCACTGAACTTAGCTACCTGATTGTTCAACCAGGATGTATATGCATTTCTGTTGCAGCTGAAGAGCTTGACAGTCTCCAAAGTTAGCTAACTACATATTTTCTGGGTCTGGATGTTAGTATAAATCAATACATCTGTAACTATAATGATTATTTTTGCCTTTTGCCATATTTTTTTATTTTTAAAAATATTATTTTATTTTAAAGTTGTGGGGTACAAGTCAGGATGCGTACGTAAGTGGTTTAGGTACAGGAGAAGTTTTGGGCCTCCCATTGGCCCGCACTTCACCTGGATTAGGATCAGGCACCCTTACTGATGTTATGTGCCCTCACCCTCCCCTGGCAGTGTCCTGCTACAGCCAGTCTCTTAAAACGACAGGTACTGGCGAGGATGCAGAGAAAAGGGAACACTTCTACACTGTTGGTAGGAGGGCAAACTAATTCAACCTCTATGGAAAACAGTGTGGCAATTTCTAAAAGAACTAGAAATTAACTTTCCATATGACCCAGCAATCTTCCTTCTGGGACTATATCCGAAGGAACTCAAATCATTCTACAAAAAAAATGTCTGTGCACGCATGTTTATTGCAGAGCTATTCACAAGAGCAGAAACATGGAACCAATCGTTCTGACATATATCAACTGCACCTGAGAACTGGTGTATTTCTCTTAAGCTTTTTAAAAATGAAATATTCCAGTCACACATTCTGATGGCTGGAAGAGTGAATTAATAGTAGTCTAATCACCCTGGAGACGCTGATGCTTCTGTGAGCTGGCACTGAGGTAAGGCTGTACATCTCTGTGGGAATGACAAGTGAATGAATCTGCTGCTCACTTAACCTGCTGTTCTTTTCTCTCTTTCTCTGTTTTCTCTCCTAGGAAACAAATGGAAGACTGCTGTGACCCTGCCCATCTCTTTGCTATGACTAAAATGAATTCCCCCATGGGGAAGAGCATGTGGTATGATGGGGAGTTTTTATACTCATTCACCATTGACAATGCAACTTATTCTCTCTTCCCTCAGGTTAGTATGATGGGGAGTTTTTATACTCATTCACCATTGACAGTTCAACTTACTCTCTTTTCCCCCAGGTTAGCAGTTGCATTTCAGTGTAATTTCTTACATCTCTTAATGTCACAGGAACTCCTTCCTGTGAGTTTGCCTAACCCATCAGATCTACTTTTCATCTTAATACTTTTCTTAGTCTTTTGTGTGTGTGTGAAGAAATCACATAATGTTTTGATGCAAGGTGGAAGCGGAATCTTACAAAGAAGTAGAATAATTATATAGCTACCGTTTTCTTATCCTTTCTGATTTGAGTCTTATGAAACTGAAGGAATCAAGTAGAGAATGGTCAGGGAATTGTGGAATTCTCGTGTTTTGAGTTTGACTGTGGAATGATTGCAAGGATTTGTGATACTGGAATGTTTTCTTAGGACAGATGTTGCTCTCAGGGAGTGGGGACCATATGGTTAGAAGTTTGCTTCTTGGAGCTTTTGAATGTTGACTCTGTTATTAGATTACTGCTATGAAGTGGAGGAATGGTGGATATGAAGAGAAAGAATTCAGTTTGACTACTGTTGAAGTAGTCTAAAGCAAGCCTTGCCTTACTTGATGTTTTTCGTCTTGGCTTTATAAGCATTGAAATAAAATGTTTTTCTAATATATATCTAGGCAGTGAATGGAGAATAAAAGGAACTCTTTATTCTAGGGGAGCCTAGTTGACGGGGAGAGTTTTAGGTGAAATTGTCACCAGGGAAAAATTGAGAAATAAATCTTGTCCTTGTCAAGTCTTCTAGTCACTCTTGGTTTGGCCAGGTATTGTACAGAAAGAGAATTCATTGTCAGAGTTGGAAAGGGGGACAGAACCTTTCATATATCTGTGTTAATAGCTAATGAATCTTTAAAGGAAGGATGCCATAAGGTTGAGGCACAGCTTCTACCAGATCCAAAGTCACACTCTTTGAAAAAGCCATGTTTACTAGCCCATTTTTAGATGTCTTAGTCTAGTTCACTGGTTTTCAATGTAGTGATATGTTTAAAAAATTGCAACAGGAAATATAAGATTTAGTTCATTGCCAGTACCCATGTGCTTTCTATCTCTGCCTCTCGTTTTCATTTGCTCTTGGGAAACTTCTTAGTGTCAAAGGAAGTGACTAAGATACATAAAATAGGGAATTGAGCTTTGTCTCCATCTCTTACTAACCAAATGCCTTGGATAATTACCTTAGTCTTCTGAGACTTAGCTGTCTCATCTGTATAATGGATAGAACAGTGCCTGTCCTATCTACCTTACAGAATTGTGTTGAAGATCAATTTAAGTAATGCATGTCAATGCACTTTAAAAACTACAAAGCATTATGTTAAGTGTTTGTTGTTAAAGCACTGATTCATACCTTTCATCTTGAAGTTGACAAATGGAGAATATAATTGTATTACAGTTTAGGAAAGGTACAGAAATCTCCATAAGTATTTTTGACAGGAAGATATTTCATATAGGGAACTAGGCACTTTAAAAAGTCATTGAAAGAATGGAAAAATGCAAATCAAGAGATAGCTCCTAGAGTTATTGAGTTCAGAACCTCCTGCTGCAACTCTGGTCTAGGTAAAAGCCCCAGATGCCAATGCTGCTAGTATGACCTCCAATACAAATGGGCTGGACGATGCATTCCAATTCTCTTCTCCCTTCCAAATTTCCCTCAAATGCATGTAATTGGTAAAGATTTATTTGCATCCATAGCACTGTTTGCAAAGAAGTCTAGGAGAGGCAGTTTTTAACTCTTTCACTTCAGCAGGAAACTGGAAAGAGGGTGAAACAGAGGTTGAGCAGCCAATTCACAGGATCTTCTGAGTGTAAAAACTGTTATCAACTGGCTATGGCATGAGGGGAGGAGATAGGAAACAATCTTCTTTAACAGCTCACCAAGTAGAAACATTTTAAAAGAAATTTCAAAGAGGCTTTTTATAGATTCGAGCTTCATACCAACTGACTTCTAACTTTGTATTGGAAAATAGATTGAAATAAAAGTGATGATTAAAGAAATATAAACCAGCCTCCTGGCTTATCTTTCAGTTGCAGCAGTAGGATGACAGGAGGCACTTACTTTTTAAAGTGTGTGCAAATGAATTCTGTGCTTCTTTGTGTCAGTTGCAACACCAAAGAGCCATCCTTGAATAATAAAAGACAAATGCTTTTTTTCCCATAGGAATCAGAATTCATTACATCACTGTGTGTACATAGTCATTAAGAAATGCTGCACCAATTCAATAAGTAGATTTTTTTTTTAAGTTACAAATGTATTTTTCTGCTAAAAATATGAAATAAATTTTTTATAGAAATCTTGGAAAACCAGTGCTCTCACCCTATTATTATTTCTTAGAAAAATGTTTCTTGTGTTATCAGCAAACTAAAGTCTCCAATAAACTGATATGCTTCATTTGTGTTCCCTGTGGGGAGAAGGGAGTGTGCACAGATGAGGCAGAAATGTCAGTAAGTGGGCCAGGCTCAGTGTTGATCGTGTGAACAAAGCATTCCTTCTTTCCCAGAATTTTGGCAAAATAGTGCCAAGTCACTCATTCTCTAACTCGGATTAGGTATCTGTGTCTGGACGCTTTTCACTAAAGGCCCAATATATGTTAGCCATCATTGTCATCACTATTATTCCTTTTGCCTACTTTTATCCATTGTTGTTTTTGTTGCCAAGATACAGCACTTCAAGAAGGGAGATGCCCTGTACCTTGTGGAATGTTAACAGGTCCTAATGAGGGCTGTGGATCCTAGGGAGGAGACTATTGAAATACTCTGTACTTTCAGTTGCCACATTGAATCTCTTTTATTACAGTTAGTTAGTTGCTTCTCATTAGGGCCTTCTACAGCTTCCCTTGGCTTCATTATGAAATTTATTTAATTCTGCCACCAATTGCAGTTAAATATAACTACATATCTACTTACTATAGTTTTCTAAAATTTCTTATATCTGCTGATCGGAAGACCATCTCAGAGAAACAAGAAGTTTTTCATTTTTGTGTCTAGTGCAGTGCTTCCCACTCAGTATGCATATTTATTTCCAACTACTCGTGTTTGCCAAGAGGGTTCCCTGTCTGTGTTCCCCATGGGCTGGACCCCTGCAGTGCCCTTGCTTGAACTATAGGAAACCAAGCAGGGCATTTTGATGTAGCTGTTTGCAAATGACTCTGTAAATGTATCATAGTGAAATATTTGTTGAATATTATTAGGTATGAAGGGCCGAATTTTAACCTTCACATGATTTTAAAAATATGTGGGGCCGGGCTCGGTGGCTCAGCCTGTAATCCCGCGCCTTTGGGAGGCTGAGGTGAGTGGATTGCCAGAGCCCGTGGGTTTGAGACTTGCCTAGGCAACTTGGCGACACCTCATCTCTACAATAAATCAAAAATTAGCCGGGCGTAGTAGCGCGCCTGTGGTTCCAGCTACTTGGAAGGCTGAGGCAGAAGGATCACCGGAGCCCAGCAGGTGGAGGCTGCGGTGGCCGGGAGCAGCCACTGCACTCCAGTCTGGGCGACTGAGTGAGACTCCAACTCAAAAAAAAAAAAAAAAATATG